TTTTTTTATCTTAAAATGGTTATTGGCAATTTCCGCTTTTTGAAGATGTATAATTATTTCCTTTGAGATTAATCATACGTATTTTTAGCATCAATTAGAGTTACAAGTTATGTAAATGAAATAAAAACAAAATAAATATCATTAAAAAAAACTTGTGTTCAACTAAATGATTTGGCCAATGATGAATATACGCACCATTTTATTCCTTTAACAATTTTTATGTACGAAACTTTCATGACTTAATGAATGTAAATTAGCATATTTCAATGAAAATAATGCTAAATTTTATAAAATTTCTATGCTTGGTCTAAAACTGGTTAAGTTTCAAATTTTATGATTTAAAATTTCAATGTTTAACTACAATATTTTCTTATCATTATTTAATTTAATAATAGGAATCATAAAACTTATATTTAAAATTATTTTACCAATTACATTTGATTGTGCAACATTAGCTAAAGAGAAATATAGGCGAATTCATTTTATTTTTTTGAAAATAATAATAATGTGAAGTTTGCCGATATTTTTAACTCCAAAGGTTCAGCACCTTGAAAAGGAGAAAATCGATAAATATTAACAACCCTTTCCTCCTTTCTAAAGTACAACAGTGTGTTGTTCTCTCTATGCATGAAACCGCGTTTTCCTTTCTAGATGTGGCTCTGGAAAATTTGATCTGTCAAAACTGCCAGTAACTACAGTTTGAAAGATCATGATCATGAAACCCTCAGAAATTGCTCTAGTTCTATTCCCATAATGTTTTTATCAACTTTGTAAGAGCGAAACTTAATCCAACTTTTTTTTAATAAATAAGTAATAACGATGCTTGTAATATCCAAAAATTAGTGTTAATTTTTATTAACAGTTTTATAACTAACAATACGAACGTTCATGCATACATTAGGAAAACTAGCATATTTCCAATTAAGTTTTTTCTTTCACTAAAAAGCTCACTGGTTCGTCCGTAACCCATAATAAAGATAAATTGCAGAGATACGGTGAAAAAATTGCTGCAGCCATAAATAGGTCTTAAATTGAACCATAATACCTTGTAATCAAGCTTACAAAGTAGACCAACTTATTCATCAAGTTTACAAAATTTCAAGTTAATCAACTTTGAGAAGCATCAAGTTTAAAGAGTAATCAAGTTAAGTAATTAATCAAGCATTCAAGTTTAAGAATTAATAAAGCAAAAATGTTTAAAATGTTTTCGAGTAAATTAGGTTAAGGTTGTTAATCAAGTTAAGGAATCATGAAGTTGAAAGAGTAATCAAGCTTAGTAATTAATCAAGTAAAGTTTAAAAATTAATCAAGTAAACAAGTTTAAAAAGTATCAAGTTAATGAGGCTTATGTTGCATCAAGTTAATCAAGTCTTAAAAGTATTACGTAGTAATAAAGTTTAAAAAGTATCAAGTTAATCAAGTTTACGAAAGGTTTACGAAAGGTTCAAGTTTAAGGTTTTACTAAACACCATATTAAGGTTGCAACTAATTTAAATGATACTATGGTTTATCACGCTGAAAAATTTCCAATAGTTTCAGTACTACGGTATTTCTGTATTCCGGTACGGGTTCAAAGATATTCCGTTCAAAATGCAGAATAAATTTCTAATAAGAACTATAGAAATGGATTATGGCAGTCACTTAAAAGTAGCAGGTTCAAGTTGTTAAAATATTAAAAATAAAGCATTCCCGCAACAGCCCGTTGTAGTCCAGGGAGTGGTGTCACGGATTTTGTAACCAATTTTGTAAACAATTTTGTAACCAATGGCATGATTGTGATAATGCAGTCAGCACTGCGCACAGGCCGCCTTTACTTCCCAGATAAACTGGTACCCACAGATAAGAATCTCAATAGGCTTTATGCCGCTCGTGGGAATCAATCTCTAGTTTTTCCTAATGACAGTTCAGTGCCTAAACCACTGAAGCAAAATAACAGTTACAAAATAACGATTAAAAAGTAACATACCTCGTACTCGTTATTCCTTAAATAGATTGTTGTTTCTCTTGATTGTCGTCATACGTAACTGCTATATTTTGAAGTAGATACAGCAATTTCTTGGTACAAAGTTAAAAAGAGGAACAGATTCTTTGTGAAACTCTTAATGAGTGAATGGACTATAAGAAAGCTTACCAAATTTTATTATTCTTGTCTGAATTTGAAACAGTTTAACAGACATTGATAAAAAATGTCTTGTTATACCTAATACAATCAGTTCGAAAATTATATCTGCTATTTAGTAAATCACCAGTTAGTAATAGCATGCGACTTTCGTTGTGTAACAGAATAAAATATCTATTACCTCTTACATGAAATATTAGTTATCAATAAGGACAATAACATATGTAATAACTTGCGGACATGGAAGTCAGTAATTTCAATATAACTTGTTATATTTTGTATGTGTTATGTTATAGTCTATATTATATTCTGTACACTGTGTAGTCTTTATACTGTACACTATGTAGTTTTACATGTTTCTACAGATAAGCTGATCTAATTATGGGTAAAACGTAAAAATATTTAAAATTATTCTTCAAAGAAACAAAGTGATAATACTAAAAAATTATTTAATTAGTTTAGAAAAATCAGCCTGTTCTACTTATTACAGTGTGTTTAATATCTGTTTTCTAACGAATTTGAGAACGAATTCGATAAAAATTAGAAAATATAAATAATTTAAAAGTGTGATAAACTTTAAAATACTTTTACCTTCACTTTTTAAAAAAAATACTTTTTTTTCAATGGTTAGTTCTAATTGAAATGCATTTGCATTTGGCCAACGATTTCATAAAATGGTTTTAAAAGTTTTTGCCTTTTTACTCACGGCGTGTAACAACCAAACCTGCCGTTGAACTACAAATTATTTGTACTAAATAACTAAATATAATATTTATTACACTCTCCAAATTGGAAATAATATAGAAGTAAATGGGAAAATTTCCATGATATTACACAATACATAGTAAGCGTATTTTCTTTTGAACACAATGGAGAAGTAAATGTAAAGATTTCTATAATAATGCATAATACTTAAGAGTATTTTCCTTTGAACACAACGAAGAAGTAAAGATGAAAATTTCTATAATAATGCATAATACATAAGCGTATTTTCCTTTGAACACAATGGAGAAGTAAATATGAAAATTTCCTTAACAATACCTAACACATAAGCGTATTTTTCTTTTAACACATTGGAGAAGTAAATGTGAAAATTTTTATAATAATACATAATACATAGGCGTATTTTTCTTTGAACACAATAGAGAAGTAAATGTAAAGATTTCTGTAATAATACATAATACATAAGCGTATTTTCCTTTGAAAAGAAAGGAGTAGTAAATGTAAAAATTTATATAATAATGCATAATACATAATCGTATTTTTCTTTGAACACAATAGAAAGGTAAATGTGGAAATTTCTATAATAATACACAATACCTAAGCGTATTTTTCTTTGAACACAATAGTGAAAATTTCTACGATTATGAAATGCTCGCTAAAAGAACACGAAATAAATAAGGCAACTGCTATATTTCTGATTTTTATATTTTAAGGATTAATTGCATTTTTTTAAGATCTCTACTTGACCGAAGACGATTGTCTTACCTTCCAGCTCGCCTAGGTATTATATGACAGAAACTGTATTTTAAATTGTGTAGTGCTTAGAATTTTTTTAAGTTTTTTTAGTTCTTAAAATTCTTAAAATAAAATTTTAGTTCTTAAATTTAGTTCTTAAAAGCAAAGGGAGAAATTTAAAACAGAATCAAGTGTTTCAGCATTGATTTTATATCAAAAATTACATTCTGATTCTTAAAAAACGTTAAAACTAGCATTTATTAATGCTTCTCAATTATAAAAGCAAACTAATAAGCATTATCTATTAATTTTTTTTATTAGTTTTAAAGATAAATTTATTTTATTATCTCAAAGCGATACATTTAAAATGAAATCAAGTATTCCGGCATTGATTGTGTAACGAAAGAAATAAACTTTGATTTTTAAGAGGCGTTAATATCAGCATTCATTAATGCTTCTTAATATTATAACACAAATTAATAAGCTTTATTCATTAATTAATTCATCCATTCTAAGGGTAATTTTATTTTATTATCGCAAAGGGTTAAATTTAAGTGTTTCAGAATTGATTGCACAGAGAAAAAACACATTTTGATTCTAAAGAAAAATTAATTTATTAATCCTTTTAATTATATACGCAAATTAATAAAGTATTATTTCTTAATTTATTTCATTAATTCTAAGGTTAGTTTTATTAGATCAAGTATACATTTAAATTGGAATTAAGTGTTTCAGCATTGATTGTACGGGGAAAAAACACATTTTGATTCTTAACTAGCTTAAATACCGGTACTTATGAATGCTCCTTGTCCTTATAAGCGCAAAATAAGAAACATTAATTATTAATTAATTCTATTAGCGAAAAATGTTATTTTGTTTTAGAAGCTCAAAGGGTTAAATTTGAAGCAGCATTAACTACTCAAACGTGGATTGTACAATGTTAATAGTATTAGCACCAGCGTTTAATAACGCTTCTTAATTTTATTAGCACAAATTAACAAACGTTAATTCTTAATTCATTTTATTGGAGCAGAGGGTTAAATTATATAAAATCAGAATTAAGTGTTTTCTCCTTAGTTGTACATCGAAAAAAAAACAAACATTTAATTCTTAGAAGCGTTAATATTTACAAACCGATAATTTTCATTCGATAATAAGAGACAATGAATTGATACAGGATATAATTCTCATTTTTAAGTACCGAACAAATAATAAACTTATGCTGTTCGGATTTCAATCTGAAGCATCAAAAATGTATCCTTTTTTACAGATTATAAAACAAATGAATTTTGATAAAAATAAAAAAAAACGAAGTATTTCCAAGTAATCTTATCTTTTCCAATAAGTAAATCTAGAAATGTTCTTATCATTCCTTAAAACTGGTCAAAAAATAAAATATAATTATGTTTATTATGATAAGACCCATAATATAAGACCGCTAGTGTTATTTTGAAACTAGATTCGGATGCTTCAATTTCTATAGAAATCATAAAAACATGTGGAACCTCATTTCTAGTTTGTTGTTTGCCACCCTTTGTTTTTACCAAGCATGTAAGTTGGTTTCAAAAATTTTAACCTTTCATTTCTTATTATATTTTAATATGGGTGTTTCTTAAGAAAAAATGTGCTATTTATACTATATTTAATTCAATAGTTCCCCTCTCTATATTAAAAATAGCGTAATCCGTTTTGAGTGTTAAACTGAACGTTACATTTTGTGTTGGAGGAGCGCTAAACCCGTATGATTTAAAGGCTTGAAATTAAGATGGTGTTAAGAAAAATGATACGAGTTCAATGAAAAAAAAAACTTACTATTTGATAATTAGTTTGAAAAATATTAGCAGTCATATTTGTAGAAAAATATACCATGTATCTCAAGCTACGGTGGCAGAAATGCAACCATAAGGAGTTCAAAATTTATCCTGCTTAAAAGTCCGTACTTGGATATGAACTTAAATCGAGTTATTTACGAAATTTCAATTTGCTGAAAAATAATAGCAAATAAGAGTTTTTTTTTTTGAAAATAAATAATTTTCTTTGCTTTATTTTTTCCCCTTTCCTTAAAAACAAAAAAGGATAATTTTCAGATTCGCAGGCACCACTTAATAGCGCAAGTAATAAATCAATTATAATTTCGTGTTCACTTTCCAATTAGCAAAATAACTCAAATCTCCATCCAAATGACAGGCCAATTGCCTATCAGTGTAGCGATGTGGAAAAAAAATGCCTTTTTTTGCATTTTTGGCTGTTTTTTCTCTTCCTTTCCTTCCTATATTCATGTTTTTTTTTCCTCATTTTTTAGACTTTTTTTAATCTCTTTTATGAATTTCGGAAAATATTTTTCATCTTAATATATTTGTGCTCAAATTTTATTCTTTTTGAATTTGAATTTCTAATTTTATTTTAAATGTCTTTCAAAAATTGTTTTTTAAGTTATGAGTCGTTGCTTTTAAACGCGGTTATAAGTTCGAAGCTTCAAAGGGCTGGGTTTTAAATAAATTCAAAGTATTGACAAACGATAAAAAATTTAGGAGATCCTTAACATCCTAATAAGATGAATCATTAAAAATGAAATAATAATTTTTAAAATTATATAAAAATAAACAAGCGACTTTTTAGTTTCAAATGGACTTTTCAAAATAGACAATTTCAAAAATATCGGTTCGTTTGAAAAATTTGATTTTGAACAATAGATAATCTAATAATTTTTAAGAAAATTAAAAAGGAAACATTTGATAACACAATGCAATTCTGATGCTTATCAATCATTATCACGCATTTGTTTACATTTTATTTTATTCATTAAGTACACATTTATTTTAATTACTACCCAACATTTTCCATCCTCATAAATTCACGATTTGATTTGAAATATATAGTTATATTAAAAAAAAGCTTAAAAAAAATACAAGCTTAAAATTTTTTTTTATTTTAATTTAATTTTTTGGTAATTAATGTTAATTTTATAGTGATAGTGTTTCAAAGCTTTTTTTTGCTTTTTTTAGGCTCTTTTCCCTTTAAAAATGTTTTAGGTATAATAATCAATATCTCAATTTAAATATCAATATTTTTGACCACTATTAACATGATTTATTTTCATTTTATCGCTAATTAAAATTTTTCGTCAATAAATTTGAAACATTTTCTGACATTCTAGAGTGCTCAAATTTCAACTGGTGTTCCATGCGTGATGATAAAGTTAAAGCTGTTTTTTCTAAAAGGTGCCAACAAAATATATCAGCAATTAAACTTCCGACATTGATCCGACGTTAACAAACTAGCAGACACAAAATTAAAAGGAATAAAATAAAGTAAACATTTTAAAAACTATGTTTTTCAAGTCTAAACTATCTTTTTTTTGTCTATCTAAAGAGAAGAGCGTAACCGGCGAAAATTCCCACCCACGTCTTTAAGGACAGAAAAAAGAGCACCGGAAAAAGCCACTTTCTTTGTTAAATATAAATTTTAATAACTGATTCAATTGGGCCGGTGAACCGTAATATATTTAAATTATATATTCAGTCAAAAAAACAATTTTAATTTAACAAGGAAAATATGTATTAAATTAAAGTTTAAAGAAAGGATTTATATGCAACATAATGATTAGAACTAAAATTGAATTTTGAAATTGTTCTAAATTTGAATTATCACACTAATTGTAATACGATGTAATATTAATATACAAATTATATATCTACGTTTTAAACTATTGTAGTTATTTTGTTTCAAATTTAGTTAAATTAAAATACTTTCATTGTTTTAATATTTTTAACTGTTTCAAATGTTTCAGCCTCTGTGAAACTATATTACTATTATCTCTCTTATGATTGTAAAATGTACTATATAATGCATTATTTACTTATCTAGCAATAAAATTTCCTACAATTAAATTTTCGGTATCAATTATTTTATCTGAAAAAATACCTAATTATATTAGAATAAGTATTTAGATTCGAGGGCAGCGAACGAAATCGAATCTCAGAATTAAATTCGTACAATAGTTAGAAATGTCTGTTTTTTTTCGGTACTTTTTTCCGCAATCGTTTCAAAAGTAATGCATCCTAGTTTCGGTACTTTTTTCCGCAATTGTTTGAAAAGTAATGCATCCTAGAAAAAAAAAAGAATTTTTTTCCTAAGTAAGCTTGAAAAGCGTAGTTTTTGAAATTTTATTTTATAATTACCATTATTTATATATTTCAAATCGTGTGACAAATTTCCCCTATCGCGTTAACGTAATTTTGTATAAATACTCATTTATGAAAACAGTATTTCATCAAGAACTTTATTTAGTTTTAAATTGCAATCAGAAATTTGTCCCCAAAATATTACATTTTTACTGCTTTCCCTTAACGTTTGAGTGTTTTTTTTTTATCTACAAGACGCTGATGACAGAGATAAAAAATCTAAAAACTGAAATGAAAAATAAAATATGTAATTCAAAATTGTACCTCATTCGCATTTGTACTTTTAATTTCAGCAAAAAATATTGTAAAATCGAGAATCTTAACTTGTTCTCGAAACACATTTTAGTAAAACTTAACTTTAAAGTTGTAAGAGCATAAAGTTGGAGATGATCTATTTTATTTTAAAAACCATGACATAGTAAGTCGAAGACATCACTACTTAAAATTTGCTCACATTAGTTTATTCTTTATAAATACTTTTGCTAAAACTACGTAAACTTTCAAAAGTTACATATTAATGCTTATTTCAAGTAATATTAGCAATTAAACGCTCAAAAATAAATAGATTTTTTTATAGATCACGTATTTGAAGTATTTTTATAGAAAATTTACTTATTCATAAAATCTTTCTTTAAAAAACACGTTTGATTTAAACAGTGGTTTAAGCCTTTGACGCAAATGGAACACCGGAGTCCCTTTTATGTATTCTTTTTTTTGATCCTCCAACTAAAAGCAAAAATATATTTCAATATTTTTTTAATTTTGAAAAACTCACTACTTATTATAAAAAAAAATTATTAAAAAAATTCGGTTTAATTTTTGAATTATATTTGTACTGAAATATAAAATCCTAAAAAAGTAATTTGTAAAATTGTTTTTCTTATTCATACTTAAAAATGTAGCAAATAATTTATTTTGTGAATTAAAAAATTTTTAATAATGAGCAACCATTTTTCTTATATATAAATAACTGCGAAAGGAAATAACTGCAAATTCGAAAAATTAATGCGCGGAAATGAGCCACATTTGGAAAATAAACACAGAACAAGATCCCAATGTTTCAGGCTATATTTTTTATCTATGCATTATTAAAATGCAGAATATATAATATTTTTCACTTGTTTTGACCTAGATTAATGCAAAAATAAAGAAAAAGTATGAAAAATATGTTTAACACGTTGAATGCCACGCTAATTTCACATGGCTTGCCCGTCTGGCCGAACGGTAAATAACTACAAACTAAATTACAAATACTAGACAGATTTTGCTAGTTTTTAAAAGGTTTAGCATGACATATCTGAAAAAAGTGGTGAATTATATAAGCCTACGCATTGCTTAGAAATAGTGGTGGATAAAAATCTACTAAATTGAATTTATTAAACCAAGAATCACAATTAATAAACTACCACTTGAAAATATATATTCGCTGTCCGGAACAAGTTGTCATCTCTGTGTATATAAATAAAACTATTTTTGTGTGTTCTATATTGTATTAATTTCTTCAAACCATTTTAGTAACGATAACAATATTAAAAAAATTAAAAATTTACTTGAATTATGTGTTTCTAATAATCTTGGCTTCGCCGGTCACCGGTGACCCCCGTGGCGCTACGAACAAACTCAGTACCGGTCACCCCCATGGCATTCAACTTGTTAATAAAAATTCTGCGTCAAGGGGTTAAGCCATGGTTGAAATCACATTGGTTTAAACCAAGCAGCATTGATCATACTTTTATTAGGATCACTAAAACAATAAATTGCTGAATCGATAAACAACAACATGTGACAATTTAGAATATAATTTTCATGACACTTGATTTAAAATGTGTTTTGTATGAAAAAGGACATTATCATATTAATTTTGATATACTTCATTTATTTATACAGTGCCAATACAGTCTAAATGTGTGGATTTAAAAGATCTGAGTGGCAACATAACCGAAATTTACTCCGGTCCCAAAAATATCAAATACAACAAATGTTGGAACATTTTAAATCCTGAGAATAACTCGTTGGAAATTGAGCTGAAGCACCTGGATTTTGAAAAAAGGGTATTTTTGTTTCTATAAAGAATTTATTTATTTCATCATGAATTTAAGAGAGCTCTAGCAATTTTTAATATTAATTTTAATTGTAATTGATTTTAATTGTAATCCATTTTAATTATAATTTAATTACAATTATAAATAATTTTAATAATTTAATTGCAATATTTAGAATTAATCTAATTAAATATGTTAATTAAATTTAATAATATAGTTTCATTAAATTTACAAAACAATTTATTTAATTTAATATTTTTAATTAATTTCAAGTTTAAAATTAGAATTGTGATAATTATAAGAAATTTTTAACATTTTTATTAACAAAACTTTAATTATAAACAATTTTAAATAATTGTAATTATAATTCAATTATAATTATGAATAATTTTAATAATTTAATTGCAATATTTAAAATTAATCTAATTAAATATGTTAATTAAGTTTAATAATATAATTTCATTAAATTTAAAAAACAATTTATTTGATTTAATATTTTTAATTGATTTTAATAAGTTTAAAATTAGAATTTTGATAATTATAGGTAATTTCGAATATTTTATTAACAAAATTATGTTTCGTGGATTAAAAAAGAAAATTAGACAAACGTGTTATGTATTATGTGAGATATCTCAAGTACTTTTCTAAGAAAAAATAAAAATAAAAAATCGAGAAGAGTAACGAAAGTAATACTGCTAAAAAAATAATTTAACTTTATAATTCAAATATATTGTCAACCATACAGAAATAAAATAAAACTAGTTTTAAAAGAAAAATTTAGTAAAGAATTTAGTAACAAAATAAAACAGTTTAGTTCTTTAAAAGAGGAAAATTTCTTAAATATTTTCTATTATGTTAGGTTTTCAAGTGATAAGGGACATTCTATACTTCGACTTCCAAGAAATTATAGTTCCCACCTTCCCTTATCAGAGTAACGCCCCCTTTTCCTCCTTTATTGTCTTTTTTCCTCGGTCACTATGGCAACCGATTATGAAAGTGAATTTTGAAAGAAAATTTAAATAACAAACAGCTAAAAAAATTTGCATAATAGCTGAAATTTTTATTCAACCTTCTCCTTTTTTTAATTCTACAAAAATAAAATTTTTTTTAAAATTAATACGCGCAAAAAAAAAATCATTTTCGTAAAATTAACAGCGAAGTATATTAATTTCCAGCTATTTATAAATGAAACCGATTTGCTAAAATTATAAAACTATTTTCACCTTTTCAGTCAACGCAGTTTTTTTTTTATAACTTTCTTTTCATTATTTAGTTATTTGCTTGTTTGTTTGTTTATATAGTCTTGTGATTACGTTTGCCTAACCATCTTAGTCAACAAAACAGGAGAAAAAGTGAAATGGTGTGAAAACAGTCAGAGGAAAAAAATAGCTGTCTACTCTAAAGTCTCTATCAATTTCTATGCAGATTATGGCGAGCTTACTCCAAATAGTCGGAAGAATTTTGAAATACACTATAAAATTGGTAAGCTTGAAATATATATATATATATATATAAAAGTTTAAAAACATAGATAGAACATGAAAAAAAAATATTAAGAAACTTTAAAACGTAAATAAACAACCACTGGAAAATTTAAAAAGTTAATGAATTTCAAATTTTTAAAAACTATGGTAGAGCAACAAGATCAATACCAATAGAATTTTTGTTTTCGATAATGTGAAAACTTTCCCATAAATCTAAGTCAGCACATGAAATTTACGAATGTTATGAACGGAGAAAAAATCGAATCTATAATCTCCTGAACAGCATTATTTTACGATAAAAATAAACCGCAAAATATTTTAATACAAAAAATTTTACTATTCGCCAATTTTTAAACGGTGTTTTTCGTAAAAATTAATTTTATCACAAAGGATTACTCTTATAATTTGCATATTATCATGTGCTTCCTAAAACTGATTTATACTATGGTTCAACTAGAACAGAAACAAAGTTAAGTTTAGCATGTAAAGGATAGTTAAGTTAGAAACACAGTTAAATTTAGCAGGTAAAATACGGTCAAATTAGCAACATAGTTAAATTTAGCACGTAAAATACGGTCAAATTAGAAACATAGTTAAGTTTAGCATGTAAAGCATTGTTAAATTAGATACATAGTTAAATTTAGCATAGGTAAATTTACGTTCTAGCAAGTTTGAACCTTATTCTGGTCAAAGATAACGATATGAAGATTTAACATTTCTGAGTGTGCAGAGGGAAAAATTAAAAACGAAACATTCACTGTAACTTTTGATCTTATGATTGAATTTTTACGTACTGAAACTCATCCTTATGGTTCAAAAACCAAAAAGGTCGTATATTTAAAATTTTATATATTAAAAACTATTGGACCAATTTCATACAAATTATGTATCTATTAATATAAAATTACATTATTAAAATGATGCTGAAGATTGCATAAATTGTACACCTTACAATTTAAGATTTCTTCAACCATTGTTAAATAAAATAATAAAAAAACTTTAAAAAAAAAACAATTATTAAAGATTATTTTAACGTGGAATTATCATTAGATGAAAAACTTTTATAATTGTGTGCAAAATGTTTTCGATTCGCTTGGAAAGCTCTCAAGTATGGAAAAAAAGGAAAAATGTGAAAATGTTCTCAACTTTGACCGATCTTCTGAACAAACTATTGTGTACAAATTTCAATATCCAAATCCTAGCTATAACAAATATTAATTTAGAGACAAAAAAACACATGTTAATTTAGAGAAAGCATGATTTCGTAATTTAAAATATCATCAGCACTAATTAAATAGCATATTTGAGACCACCCCTTTTAATCATTGAGTCCTAGTACACGAATATCAGGGGACTAGATAAAATCAGTTATTAACATAAAATATCACCAGCAGTAATTAAATAGCATATTTGAGGTTGCCCCTTTAAATCATTGTGTCTTAGTACACGGATATCTGAGCACTAGATAAAAACTTATTCAGATATTAACTTAAAATATCGCCAGCCTTAATTGAATGACATATTTATAGTTACCCCTTTAAATCTTGAGTCCTAGTAAGGGACAATCCGGGCACTAGATAAAAACTTATTCAGTGTATCCCGTTTTATTTTTTTCCCTCGCACTGTACATATCACTATATTTATACATACATGTGTTTATAAAATTATTACAGATACTAGTACGAAAGGAATTGAGGGTGTGAAAGATGCCTTGAAACAAACTGTTAATTGGTCGATAAGTAACTCTACTTCGTGGAAATGGATTGATCACATCCCGAAAGTTATCACAGCCCTTGCCCTATCAGAAGGCGCTAAATTTGACGGTAAAAATCGCGAAGAGCTGCTTATGGTGAAACAAAGGGAACTTCGAATTTCAATTGCTTTGCTGCGGTAAGTGAACTTATCTTTAAGACGTTAGGCTCCCAGCCTCATCTATAATCTGTGGCATAACTACCACTACGATTATTAAGCATCAATTCACTAGTATATTAAACATGCTAACACGACTCCATCTTGAGAGTACCTTTTGATAGCTGAAGGTTGACTTTGTCGATAACTCCTTTCCCCATAAATCAAAAAGAAAATGTATAGTTTTTTTTCATCTGGTTAATAAGACATCATAGGCCATTTGAATATAATTAATATGAATATAATGCTTTACTGTTTGATATTTTTAATAAATATATTTTTCATGATTTTCATCATTATTTTGCATTAGTTTAATTCAAAATTAGTGAAAAATATCATGTATTTAGCATTTTAATGATGCATATACATCGTGAAACACTGGCGTCTTCTTGCGTCAAAGGTAAAATCTTCCAAAAATGGCTCCGATTCAAAGGAACAATTTTTTCAAATTTGCACTTATTCGCTAAGAGAAACAGTTATTCATCAATGAAATTACTTTAATTTACAAAATCAATTACTAATAAGTTTTTGAGTATGAATGAAAAAAATATTTTCAAACTACTTTTTTGGATTTTAAATTAGAATAGAAATATAGTTACGATAACCTAGCAGATTTATTTAGTATATTTTATAGTTAGATTTTCTTAGTTCCTTATAATTAATAAAAAACTAAATTATATTATTGCTTGTAGTTAGAGCGTCATAATATATACACGGAAGAGCCATTACATTATGACCACCCTGCTAATAACATGTAGGACCACATTTAGCCCTCAAAACTGCTAGCACCCGTCGTGGTATTGATTCCACAAGGTGCTGATAGGTAGTCTGAGGTATCTGGTACCAAGCGCTCACCAACTGGTCCTGCAATTCCTTCACATTGTGAGGGGGTAGCGTGGCACCACGAATTTGGTTTTCCAAGTAGAACCACAAGTGCTCTATTGGGTTAAGGTCAGGTGAATTTGGGGGCCAAGACATGACTTGAAAGTCACAGGAATGTTCCTCGACGATTCGACCCTTATGACATGGTGCATTATCCTGTTGGTAAACACCATCCCCCGCAGGAAAGAATGTTGCTATGAATGGGTGAATCTGGTCTGCAACTATGTTCAAGTAGCTTACAGACGTCAGGGATTGTTCTATGAGGATTATGGGTCCTAATGTGCCCCATGNTATATATATATATATATGTATATATATATATATATTATGCCTTATAATAAACATAATAACAAAAAATCGAGATATCGCGTGAATGTACAGTCGCAAGCATAATCTCTTCATGTTCAAAATTTTGATCGAGAATTTTTTTTATCGCATGGACTATTGAAAGCTGAAGCAATGACAGATTCTATCCAAAAGGTTTTTTTCCCCACATTTCTATTATACTTCTTCTAAATATATTATAATATACACAAGAAATATTGTAATAGATTTATCAGTTTAAAACCTGCATTTTTACTATACTCCTCATCATTTTATTTAACTAAAACGAGACACTGACAATTCCATTCGTCCAGACGATAGTACTTACGACAACACCAGAACTAATTTAACTGCAAGAAATTGTTTTGTTCGATAATATAATCCAAAGTTTTCTATCCCCTAACTAGTAGACCGCAACTTTTTCAACATAAACTGCCTTATACTTCCTTTTACCGGGTTTACTACAAGAAAACTCTGCTTGGATCAGCCGACTTCAAGGCTCCTCTATATTGGGCTAACTTAGGGGCTCTAGCCAACTCCAAGAAGGTTCCAAAAATATTGTCTGCTTTTTATTGCTTAAGTTAGGATTATTTTTTTTTATTTAACTACACTTCTTCACAAAAACTAGGCCTTGATCAGATGACTCCAAAAAAGTTCCAAAAATATCGTCTGCTTTTTTGATCTCTCTTGCTTGTTGTAATGCTTTTTATCATTGCTTATAGCCTGAATTTATATGATATATTTTCCTTTTTACAGTGATACTATTTCAAGTGAGCAGCTAAGCATCTTCATAAACTCCATTCTCTCTACCTGTCATAATCCTCGCAATTTTTACGGATATAATTTGGTGGAACTTCTAAAAGAACAAATAGCATCTGAGAATTTCACGCATCCGGTATCCTACTTGGCACTTTGCAACGCTAATGAAACATGGCCGGTAGAAGCATATGAAAATCTCTTAAAAATATACAAAAGCAAATCCAGATTGCCCATCAACAGAGGTAAAAGCTCTTAAACGAAACTCTTTTAGTAATTTACTTTCAAATGTAATATTATAACGTAAATTTATTAATACATATATATAATGACGTAATTATTATACTTTTAAATAAAATCAATATTTCGATAATAACAAAGTGGTAAAGAATAAAAAAAACTAAAGCTCATAGAGATTTGGTTAAGAGATAACCAAAATAAAGTCTTGTTTGTATGAGCTTTAGGGTTATTTAGATGCAGAAGTGAGTGCAATATCGCTAAATCAAATTTATTACTTGCACACATAATTAAAAACATTAAACAAAACTATGAAACCCCTAGAAAAAACTGCAGATTCTGTTGTTAATTTTAAGACAAAGAAATCCTTCCTTCACCATAAAAAAATCACTCTTCCAAAAAGGGCTATTCCAAAAGGATGATTTTCTGAAGTAAATGGATTAAATGATTTAAAAAAACACGTGGAGAAAACTCCGAAAATTCCCTGAAGTCTTTATGGCGTCATCAATTAAAACGAATCGAGATGGTTAAATTTTCCTTCTCTCATGATGTTCAATTGCGTTAAAGAAAATTTTGCAACCAATTCCTTTTCAGAATTCTTAAATAAAATGCACGACAGCATTTTGTAGGACACCAATGCAACAAACAAATTTGTATGGCTTTTTCATATCTTCCTGGCTATAATACCCTAAGCCCGAGCCTAACATTTCTGCTGAGGAAAACATCGTTCTGAACTAAACTATAGAAACTATCAACGTAAAGTGTGATATAAACATCATATAAAACATAATATGTCTATTTATTTTAAATAACGCTATTTTCTTTACAATTGTTAACCATTAAATAACATTTCATGACATATATATATCGAAGAGCCATTACTTTATGACCACCCTCCATCTATAACAATGGGCCCGCACAGGTTTTCATGGTTTCTCGCCCACGAACAATGTTTTCATGGGGCACAACAGGACCCATAATTCTCATAGAACAATCCCTGACGTCTGAAAGCTACTTGAACATAGTTGCAGACCAGGTTCACCCATTCATGGCAGCAGTTTTTCCTGCGGAGGATGGTATTTACCAACAGGATAATGCACCATGTCATAAGGGTTGAATCGTCGAGGAACATTCCAGTGATGCTCAAGTCATGTCTTGGCGACCAAATTCACCTGACCTTAATTCAATAGAGCATTTGTGGTCCTACTTGGAAAACCAAATTCGTGCTGCCACGCCACCCCCTCGCAGTGTAAGGGAATTGCAGGACCAGTTGGTGAGCGCTTGGTACCAGATACCTCAGACTGCCTATCAGCACCTTGTGGAATCAATGCCACTGTTTTGAGGGCTAAAGGTGGTCCTGCATGTTATTAGCAGGGTGGTCATAAAGTAATGGCTCTTCGGTATATATATATATA